ATATATATATGTGTGTGTGTGTGCGCGCGCGCGCGCGTGTAGATATATATATTATATAGATTATATTATAATATATTATATATATTACATATATTATATGTATAGATTATATTGTGTGTATATATATATATATATATATATATATGTATCATAAGTTGAAATGGGAAAATGACACAAAATGACAAATATATTATATAAGGTTAATTATATCTTATATACATGTATGAGAACCAATTTTTGGAGCAACAATTTGAAACCAAGCCATGTGTCACGGACAAATAGTCCCACATCGGCTAGGTGTAGGGCCGAAAAGCAGTATTTAAGTCCTGGGCTGCCCACCACCCATAAGGGCTTTTTTGGGAGGTGACAAGTGGTATCAAAGCAGACTACTGCCTGCCAGGTGTGTGGACTCTCCATGGTCCAGTGGGACCCTCGGTGGAGCCGATCCGTGACGAGGGCGTCACGTGATTGGGTGGAGGAGAATGTCACGGACAAATAGTCCCACATCGGCTAGGTGTAGGGCCGAAAAGCAGTATTTAAGTCCTGGGCTGCCCACCACCCATAAGGGCTCTTTTGGGAGGTGACACATGGCTTACATTCCTCCTCGCAAGCGGCATCACAACAAGGATGGCGACCGATCAGCTCCCACACCTTCACCAATTCCCGCCTCTCAACCCACGCTTCAAGGAAACCCTAAATCTCGGCTGTAGTCGCCGGCGGCACGAAACCCATGGTGCCGGAAAGATCGTATACGCGGCAGATTCCATCTACCGGTGGTGGCCTGTCGGCGCCGCCTCCAACCGCGACCCCATCCCCGCCTTTTTCCGGCTGGAGCCTTTTGACTGGGAGATCTTAGAGCAGAGGGATGGTGAAAAGCCCCTGGTTCTCGTCGGCGGCGGGGGATCGGAGGAGAATGCTGGTGAAGGGCAGGATATGACGCCCTGGGTTTCAATAGCGGAGAGGGTGGTGCCTGACTTGATCGCGGCTGCGGTAAGTGCGAGAAACGAGCTGAAGCATGGTGGAGACGAGGAGGCGAAGCTGTACTACCTGTACCTTTAACCTCCTGAAATTCTCCCTGTAACTTGTTTGCAGGTTACAGACGTACGCATCTCTGCATCATCTTATGTAAGCAAATTTTTTCCCTTCCATGGAGGTTCTTCAGGTAGCCTCGATTCCATCAAGAAGGCAGCATCTACGCCAGTTAATTCTACTAATAACTTGCGCAAAATATTCTGTACAAATGTTCCACATTCACACATGGAAAATGTCCAAATTACAGTAGCTCCCAAAATTGGCCTTTCATTTCACTCTGAGAAGGATCATTATCATATTAGGATTTCTGATAAGCACAGACCAGATTCAACAATTACATGCAAGTGTACCCTTACACAGAGCGGACAACTAAAATTACACAAGATTGAAGAAAATGTAGTGCGGCATCTGGTGGCAGACTTATCTTGCCTCTACAAGAAGCTAGATCTTCGACTTTTTCTGTTCACCGGAAGAAAAATGAAAATCATAGATAATGAGGAAAATGAATCTCTGAACAAGATAGTAATCTCTGCTATAATAGATCCAGATGTGAAAGGAGGGCTCAGATGGCCTATGGGCAAGCAATCTTCTGCTGAGCGGTACAGTGTTGTGGGAGCTTGGCACCAAATGTGTTGCTTTAAGGAGCGATAAGATGAGGCTCGTCTTAAGGCGGGCTGATCGATTTGATTTTCTGAACTCGACTGGAGAGGTTTCTTCTGAATTATCTTTGAAAATGATTGAAATTGCCAGGCTCTTGAAGGAAGGAGATATGGAAAGTAACCTGCTGGAAGTGATGGTTCAGGAGGAAGTGAAGCTGTTTTGGGATCATCTATTATGCTGAAGGTATGTTCTGACGAATTAGACATTCAGAAGAAAATTGTAATGAAAGCAATAGCTAAAAATATATGTTCTAAAACTCTCTGTAAATATGTGTTTTCATTTTTGTGTTTTGTACGTTTTCTGAAGAAGAAGACATCAAAAGAACTTATATATACTTGCCTGGTACTGCATATGAAATGCAAATATTTAAGTTTTTTCAAAATTATATTATATATAT